TCAATTAAGTTTTGGATGTACAGAGAGACACAGGAGAAACTATTTTCATATAGAGAAGCTGAAACATTACAAAATCATAGAAAAATTTAGGTTGAACGCAGTATCACAAGGTCTTCTGACCCAACCCTGTCCTCTAAGTGAGGCTAAACTGGACACTATACCATTCAATATAACCTGTCAGTCACAAGCAAAATACATCTAATTTACTCTCTTAACCACACACACACTCTCACATCTATGTTTCCAGTGTTCTGGGGATAAAAGCAAATATAAAAGAAGTGTTATGGCTGTTCCTTTAATGCTAGAATTTCACCAAGTTCCTTTATACATCTGAGAAACAACAAAAGAGAACACGTGATGAATTGTAGGAACACCTTGCAAACCGAATGTAAGTTTAAAAAAAAAAGAAAAGAAATCGAACACAACCCCCACGCAACCCTGAGCAACAGACATTTCTTTACTGTTGAGAACATATATCATAGGACATCAGTACTTCTATAGAACTTAAAACTTTCCCTAGACAAGGATGACCAAATGTTGTACCTATTTATTAAATGAAGTTGTAAGTAACAGAAAACTTAAGAGCAGGGAGAAGCACGCCACATTTTTGTCAAGTAAGACTTCTGTTTCCTTTTCACATCAGCAGATCTTGAATTTCTCTACTTGGGCCTACCTTTTCCCTTGCACGCCCTGCACAAGTTTCAAGAAGTGCTACATGTAAATTATTTAAAAATCTAATTGATGTTCCGCAGATTCAGACAACACAAACTAGGGAATGGATGCAACAGTTCATTATTTACCCTTATTCTTTTGCAGTAAAGGTTCGATGAAGAAATTGGGAAAAGCATAGGATTCAAGAGTCACGAAGAAAGAATGCTGTAACTGAAAAGTGCTATTAGGATTATAAGAATTTGAACCTGTCTGTAAAAGTTTATTTTCATCATATAGTTCATGCATACCTTGCTGCAGCAGTCCCTCCTTATCTTCCACAACCAAATGCCAATTAAGATATAATTTCAAACACCTGCCTACTATCAAGACACTGGGCATCTTCTGCATATCTAAGGCTTTTAGGTCACAGAACTGTTTGCTCTCCCTTTCCCCCTCAAGAACTATTACGATCACACACAAGTCAGAAGGGAAATAGCTTAGAGAATAAGACAATAGGAAGACACGTGTCCATCACAACTGTAGGATTAGAAGCAAAATTTTAGTCAAATGATCAAGCAATAGAAAAACCAAGTCGTGACTGAACATAAATTTAATCCCCCTCCTCCCCTTAATCTTTGGGAAAGGAAAAAAAAAACATTGCAGAAGTAACTATCCTCTCTCCAGAAGAGCAAACTAAATCCAGAACTTTAACCCTACATTTTAAGGTTTACAAATGCTACGCTTATCAGGTGTTTCCTTAATGTCAACCTCCTCCAGGTGCAGAGCAAGCTTTACACTAATTCTGAGCCAGCAGGTGGCATTAACATCTCATCCACCCTAGGCAAACACAGGGTTAGTCAAATGCTGGGTACAGGCAAGCTTACAAGCCCTATTTAAGCCCCATACCTAGCAAGTAGTTTTCAATGGCAATTTGTACAATGGTGTGGAAAATTAACTACAGTCGTGCACGAAGCATTCCACTATCCACTCTGACAAAATAATACAGGATTGCCTTCTCCTGCCTGACTGTTGGTTGGCTGCATTTCCCACCTCTCTTATCAGCAAGACTCCATCAGGTATACACTGAGGAACTCACATCAGAACCTTAGCCTAGCATGCAATAAGGCACTTAAAGTTTATTACTACTGTTGCCATTACCTTTTAACAGTAGGATCACATTTTTAATTTGTGCAATAAGCCTTTACAGTAACAAAAGTGGGGATGTGTCCCTCTTTAAATGATGATTTACTGCATAAGAAATTGATTTGGGACTCAGTAGATGTGGGTTCTTATTTTCTGATTTCCAAAAATTCCTTCCTGTGCAGCTGCTGTCAGGTACATGAGACTGCCATCAGTACAGGCAGAGAAAATATTTCCTTACCTCAAATAAATGTAGGAATAAAGTCCACTGAACATTGAGGTGCTTGTTTTCTTGTGTTATAAATTCCTAAATGGACATCCTATTTACAGGGAGTAGGAGAGGAAGAGGAAATCAGACCTTTAATAGAAACACGACTGACTTCATATTAAAGTCCACAAGAATAAAATGCAAAGTCAGTGCATCATTTCAACAATGAAACCAGAATTAGGAAGAAAAAAAAAACAAACCAAACCTGAAAACCCCAAAACCAACCAAAAATAAAGCCATGCTTAAAACCAAAGATATATGGGGATATTTTTGCTTTTCTTTCACCTCCAAGTTCACGTAATTCAGAACATGACTTGAGAAGGCTAAAAAGAGTCCAGTGGACACATTTTTAAAACAGTCACTAAAACTTACTCTTCTTAGTACTGTACAGAAGTAGCACCTTCATTGCTCTGGAGAGGAAAGCAGAAATCAAGATACAAAAAGGATTAGGAATTTTCTTCTGAGGATATGATGAAAACAGCATTATCACATGCAGTGAACACATCAGTCACTTTTTGAAGCTATTGAATTAGTAAATTCTAATACAAAATTGCACTTTTATTTAATAAGAACTGGCAGTCTTAAGATATTGATCCCCTTTGCATTAGGAAACTTTGTAAGATTATTCCCATGCACTTGAATGAACTAGTGGAGATAGGTTTCACAAAGTCTACAATAAAATTTAAATTTTGGGTACTCCTGTAACACCTGTTTTCTGATAATGCTTCAATTTCTTACAGGTAGCAAGCTCTTGGACTATTTCTAGAGTTTGCTTACCACTGCATCTCCTGCTCTGAGACATTTGAACAGAGACTTCTATTAATCTACAAATATTTACTTGTCACCAGCCAAATATTATAGACCTTATGTCTAGAAACTCAATTCTTCTTGTCCAGGCACTCCAAGAGCTTGGCTTTTAGAATTTAAATTTCACTTTCTGGATTCCCATGTAACAAGCACCTCTGAAGGAAGTCCAAGTTCACATGAATTGAGAGAAAGGAGTAAGTGGTTCCACTGCATAAGAGAGGAATAGGAGTAATAGCACAAGCCTTCATGTATCACTCTTCCACAGTTCTTACTGTGAAGACTTGCCCCAGGGCCTGTGCTTAAAAACAGGGGAAATTGAGAGGCATGCTTGCACTGAAGCCACAATGCAAAAGAAGCAGTTCGCCTGCTACAGACTACCTTTACTGCAAAGGGCTGCAGCAGATCTGCTGCATGAGAGAAGGATCCTCAGTACACAAGAAAACCTCAGGCAATAGTGGTTTGTGGTCAACGTGTGTTTAGCAAAATCTCTTTCAGGAGTAAGGGAGAAGCTGGTGTTTTCCTTTGTCACACAGATAGACCCCTAGAAGTACAGAAGCACGTGCTTTGTCACCCTGCTAACCAGGGCAACAATATAATTTTGCTGCTATATATTTCAGACTTACAAAACAATCGATGCTAACTTGCATTACAACTTAAGTGGTAATGCCTTCTGGCCTGCTTTGAGACATTTAATATTTCACACTAGAAGTGAGTACAGTTTGCACATCACATTTTAGTACTTGGCTTCAAAAGACAAATTGATAACTTAGCATTTCAAACCACAACAGCTGACAAATTTAAAACTTACTTCCATGACATTATCCAGAACTTGAATTTCAGAAAAGTCCTTCTGTTTCAAAAACCAACCAAGAAGCTAGGCCCAGGACAAAAGTGCTTGGCCCCAACACCTTTCTTTTAGAAAGCATTGACCATATTAGCATTACGGGAAGTCATTAAACAGCTACTAATAACGTAAAAGGGAATGATAAAAGACATATGATCAGACATGCAGCCTAAATTTGGGGGAAAAGGAGCTGTATTTTCTGCATAACAATTATTTTAAATAATAACCCTCATCAAATTTCACTTTCCTCGCATATACTTGCATAGTTCTTATATGTTTAGAAAACAAACACTAAGCCCAAGAGGTATTTTACCTGTAAATGGTAGTTTGATTGTTTAAGATATACAGTATCACGGATGACTTCTGGCCTTCCGAGAACCCCTTGCCATAGGAAGGTAACGAAAGAAAGCAAACCCCAAACCTCCCAATCTGATAAGGATTTAAGTTGTTTTTGTGATACATAACAGCACCCCCCAAAAAAGGCATTTAAGAACCATTAAACTTCACCCCATTCATTGCATACAAGGAGCAATCAGTACTAATAACTGTACTTCAGGACTGTAATAGCCCGACTTGAAAACCATTATTCTGAAAAGCAGCATGTAGTGATATATAAGGTTACCTAGGCAATGCAAGGCACAAGCCAACGGGAAAAACCAGACCTCTGGGCCTGTTCGCTGGTACAAACACGGCAATAAATGCCAACGTCTGTAGCTCAGGTCCTTTTTCCCCGGCAGACAGGGATGCTGGAGGCCCGACGTGAATCCCAACCGAGCGGAAAGGATGTGCCCATGTGCTTGCCCCTCTCCTGGCTCCCCCATTTTCTCATCCCCACGCGGGACTACTTTTGCTGAGGGCAGCCACCGGCCCCGCTCCCCCCCCACACCCCGGCAAGGGCCCGCTCCCCCCGCGGGCGGGGAGCGCGGCGTCGGCCCTGCCTCGCTTCCTCCACCCCCTGCTAGAAGGGCCGAGGAGGAGGAGGCCCTCCGTTTCCCGGGGAGGACGCGGGGGCAGCAGCCGCTTGTCCCTAAGCGGACGCGCAGCTCCGGCCTCCCAGGGCGAAGGAAGGGGGGCGAGGGGAGGCCGCCGCCGTCGCGCCCCTGGGCCCGAGCTCAGGCCGCTCCCCGCCGCGGGGCGAGCCCACGAGGGCCTCGACGGGGACCGCCCCCCCCTCCTTCTCCCCACATGGGCGGGAGAGGCGCAGGGCGGCGCGGGCAGGCGGGCTCCGGGCGAGCCGGCTGGCCCCGTCGCTAGGCGGGGGCTGGGGACGGCTCCCCCGTGAGATCTCACCTTTTCGAGAGGTCCATGAGGACCCCAGAAAAAAGCTTCTCTCCCAGCCGGAACGAGACCACCAGGGCGTCCTCGATGATGTGATCCAGGGTGACCCGCACCTCGGAGCCAGGCAGCAGCGGAGCCTCCGCCTCCCCTCCGGCCGCAGCCACGGGCACCGGGGACTTGGGCTCGACAGCGGCGGCATCAGCGATATCCGGCTCCTCCTCCTCCGGCCGGGACGGCTCCTCCCCGGGCTCCAGCTCCGCGGAGCCCCTAGTAGCCGGCGGGCAGGGCTGCGGCTCCTCCTCGGACCCCGGGCTAGGCGCTCCCCGGTGCTCGGCCTGGGGCGAGTCCACCTCCGGGGTGGAGGGCGGCAGCTCCTCCGTCCTCTCAGCTTCCGGCTCCCGAGTCCCGGCCGGGCTCCGAGCGAGCTGCACAGGCGGCGGCTCCTCGGCCCCGCCGGGAGCAACCTTCCCCCCCTCGGCCTCCTTCCCATCAGGCACCACCGACTGCACGGCCTCGGTGACTGCAGGGAGAGGGTCCGCGCCGGCCTCGCTGCCCGGGATAGGCTCCATCTCAGGCTCCGCTTCACCGGCCCCCCCATCGCCCGGCACCGCTGCAGTCGCTGCCGCCTCCGCAGCCATGGCCGCCATTTTCTCTGCTGCTTCACCGCCGCCTCCCTCCAGCAGCGGGATCGATAACCACGGCCTTCCCCGCCCGCCTGGGAGGGAGAGCCGGCCCCCTAGGCTCGCATCCGGCAGCCTATTGGTGGGCGCGGGGCAATTTTCTACTTCCACTGGAGAGCGGAATAGTCCGTCAAGCCCAGCGGGAACTTCTCGTTGGCCAGTGAGAACTTCATTCAATGAAGAGTCGGGAAGAGGAAGAAGGGGTGTGGCTTAGTACTTTACAGACCGTTACAGATTAGGGGGGTTGGACCTCTAGGGCTGTTCCGCTATCTCATTGATGCGCGCTGCGGCCGGCCGGGAGAGGGCGCGAGGCAAGATGGCGAGGGCAGGAGAGTGGCCCTCGGTGGGGTTAGTGCGCCCTGGAGCGGCATCTCCGGCGGGGAGAGGCCGTCTCTGCCTCCCAGCTCGTACAGCGCCGCGCCCGCCGCCGCCTGGGTGTAGGCGGGGGGTGTTACTGGTCTGTGGCACCACCTGTCCCCGCGCTGTGAGTGCGAGGGGGGCCCTGACTGAGGGCAGCGGCGGGAGTGAAAAACAGTGGTCAGCGGGGAGAGGGAGAATGTGAGGAAGGCAGAGGGCCGGGTGTCTTTTGTGAAGTAAATCACCACTTTAAAAGATTAAGTAGCATGAATTGGGTACGTCGGATAAGGGTGAAATAAAGGTGCAGTGGTGAAAAGGCGAGAAAAGAGTTAACGTTTTCATAGAATCATAGAATGGTTTAGGTTTGGTTTTCACTTAAGATATTCTGAATCAGTGACTTTTTCTTCTTGTGGGATCAGTAGTTGTCTACCGTGTGGGCATTTATTCCTCCAGTCAGGAAATCTTGCATCTCCTGAACAAAAACTAATGAAAAAGGAAAGGTTCTAGTCTGTTATATGCATGATTTTACATTTTGGGGAACCGAGTCCTTTGCAGAAAGCAGGGGTTTGCTAGAGGGAAGGATGGATTGAGAAAGAAGAGTGGGAGCAACTGGAGACAAAAAGGCTAAAGTATTCTTAAAGCGTGAATAGTTGTATTCTTCCTAGTGCTATTGTGAGAGATATACTGTTAAGCAACAATTGACATTTTCTGAAAAGTAACAGGTAAAATGTATAAAAAATTCTTTAAAAATAAAGTATTCCTTTTCTTTCACTTTAGTGACTTTTATTGGCAGACTTCAAAGTTACTTCCAACCATATGCTCACCATAGAAACAGAGCAAGACCCCGGGTTGTCAGGTAAAAAACTTAGAAGTAAAGAACTAATGGTATTTTTGCAAGAGGTATGAGGAAAAAAAAATCCTTGCAGATTTAAGGCCTGGTACTACTTTTTCTCTTCATTGTAGGAAAAGTGACTTATATGTAGTTAAAGGACTATAGTAATGCAATTTTTTTTTTGTAATAATAAATGAGAATATGGAATAAAGAGTCTTCTGTAACAGCAAAAAACCCGATGTTTAACTGTATGCAAGTAACCTGTGATCTTGCAAGCTGCTAGGTATGAGATTTTTGTAAGTAGTAAAGGCATGATTAACCTATTCTGTTGTCCTCTTCATAGTGGTTTGACTTACATAACAGACGTAAAGACTTTTCCTTTTGTATCTGATAGTGGTTTATTTTGCATGTTGAACATAATGTTTACATTGTTGGTGGTGTAAAGCGTGTAAGGAACATATGGGAACATCAGGAGGAACAGCTAGACATTTCTGGAGACAAATACGTTAGAAATATAGTTAAATGGATTTGCTAAAGATAAAACTGCTTAATAAATTTTTATGTTTTACTACCATATTTGTTAAATGATTGGTTTGGTAGTGTGGGTGGGTAGAATAGAAAGTGTTTATTGGGGGAAGAAGTAGTAGATATTGAATTACAAATTTTTTTTTTCAGCCATGCTTGCAGCTTTGTCAGTCTGTATCACAGAGAAACAGCAGATGGATTCGGTGTATGATCTGTGGCTTAAAAGAAGTCAGATTTGGTAAGCTTTCCCAAAACTATCTACCATTAATATTACTTCCTAAATAATTTTGAAACATTTTTGATAGACCATATTTGTAAAAGATCAGTATTCCATATCCTGAGGCCATAATACTTTGAAAGATGGCAACTGTCTGGAACCCCCTAGGCTGAATATGTTCTTTGCCAGAATTCTAGAGAATAATGAGAAGATTTGCGTTGCTACTGAGCTACCTTAATTTCAATGCTATCCCTGTGGAAGGATTTCAGTTTTAATTCAGATCTGAGATTTCAGGTTTTTCTGTATGCTCCGCCAAAGGGAATGCAATAGTGGCTCTGGAAGCCTCACAGAAGTTGCAAATGATTTCTAAGGAGTTTTTATCTTGAAGAAACCAGGTATAAAAGAAACGGTTGTAGGAGTGGAAAGACTCTGCTGTTTTTCTTATTATTATTTTTGTTCTGTGCAATTGTGACAACATATGACATGTAGAAAATGAAGATTGGTTTCCCAGAAACTTTTTACCTTATTCAGATGAGTCTTAGGACAGATTAAAAGAAACACATTAGTGAAGATAGCTCATATGTAACACCAGAAGTGTTTTTACATTGCTCTCCTACGCAAAGAATTTCACTGTGCTTGGAGGTACTCCAACTGTATTTCAACAGCAGACCAAGCCGTACTCTGCATGCACAGGACTGTTATGCATGTTAGAGGTATGATCATCTGTTCGAATGCTGTTTTCCTTATTACTGCCTGACACTAGTACTAATCTATTTGTTCATCCCATGACTAATATTGTGAGGGAAAGGCCTCACTTTGGCTAGAAGGGCTGGCACAGTACAGGGATATGTATTGTCATATATTCTACTCTTTCATATTTTTTTTTACTCAGGAGACGTAGTACTGTATTTCAAAATCTTAGGAGCACTTGCACTCAGAAGTTTGCAAAAGCAAAGTTGCTGGACAGCTTTCTTGTGGGGGAGGTCAGAACTGTCATGGTCCCTACTATAAAACAGCATGGCTTGTGTAGATACTTTGTACGGTTTGTGATTTTAATTGTGCTAGCTGGTCAGTTCAGTTAGCCACAGCTCATTTCTCTGGTGCTGCTGTGCCATGGCATAGAAGGATAGCAGTAAATTCCGAGCCTACAAGAAATTACCAACTAATACAAAAGAGACTACTTAGCCCTTGAGCTGATGGGACATTGAGATCCAATAGCTCAGCCCAGCAGGCTTTTTGTTATGTTAAGTAGAGACTTATGTAGAGGATGGGCGTAAAATGGAAGATTTCCTCTTGCAAAACTTCAGCGAGGATAATGCTTACTGAAATCCACCTTACTTTTCTTTCAGCAGGTGTTGCTTATGGCAAACAGTTACCATTAAAATGCTGTTATCTTTTGCATCTACTGGAGTCCCCAGCAACCCTTAGCATAAGCTAAGCATAGGAAACAAGCGTGGGTGTATGGCTTGTTAGCCCTCTGAATTGTTTCATTGCAATAACAGAGGAGATTATGTGCTTGACCCAAGCAGTTTAAACTACTAGGGGGGGTCTTAAAATAGAATGTAAACAGCTCTTTTGCGTGTCATTTGCATGTTGAAAGGTGCTACATGTGCTTTTAAAAAGAGGTGAATAAGGACATTTATATGCCACTCTAATGACCAACAGAAATATGATACCGTAGGTAATGCTTACATGCAAGTATACTAACAGTAGGCATGTAGCTGCAGGATGAAACTTGTAAGTTTAACCAAAAAGTGCTTGCTTTATAGATTTCTTTTCCATCCCAAATTCCTTTGATTACCATTTAATTTGTGTTTATTTTAAATCTAGCCTGTAATCTCTTTAGGACAGGGTTTGTCTTTCTGCGGCTGGTTTGCAGAGTGATTGGCATAGTTGGGGCCTTGTTTCTATCCTGGAACCTTTAGAAACTGCCAAAATAAAATGAATGATGTGAATGAAACAAATTGCACTAACACACTTTCTGTAGATTAAAATGAGTCTCTGTGTGTTCAGCAAGTGGCAGAAAGGACAGAAGTAGAAACAGGAGACTATGAATTTGTGAGAGGAATGGATGCAATTGGAGGGAATAAAATAATGAATTTGAAGGCAGGAAAAATGCAAAGTTCTATGAAGATGTGTTAGCAGCATATTGGCAGACTGGGTAGCTGAAGTAAGTTTGGGTTGAGGGAGTGAAGGGATGTGATGTGGTTGCACGATACAATTGTATCTGTATGTGTGGGTATACAGGTGAAAGAATTGTTTCTGTGTGTGTAAGCTGGGACGTGATAAGGATCAGGTCTGGCAGATTTGACTGTTTAAAGGCCTGCGCTGCTCAATACTAGTGATACTGATTTGTTCTGTCATGACCAAAATGTGTTACTGCACTGACCTAACTCTGATCAGAAAATTTTGGAGTCTGTGAATAGTCACAGCATGTATGTGTGTTTCAATTAAGTGCATTGGGTTACGATGTCTATAGTTTAAGATGACGTATGGTGGTAACATCGTTCTCTGGGCATTAAGTTCCATAAAAGTGCACTGCCATGAAAGAGCCAACACAAAATGCAGCATTGCAGTGGAACAATATACATAAATGGAGTATAATCAGGGTTACAGTGAAGCCAAAGTGCATGGTTGCAGCATATCTACAAATACTCGGGTTGCTTGAAGCTAATTTAGCTACCAATAACAGTGAAACTGTGATAGCAGTCTCCAGAGTGGGCTGCACCCTGGTAATTGCCTAGTAGCTGGAATTTGTGGTGTTATTGGTATCCAAGCTAGCTGGATATGTTTAAGTTCACTATGCCTGTTCATGCTGCAACTGATCTGTCTTATTTAGAGGTTTCATATGCCTACACTAAGTGTGCGAATTTTTATGGAGTGTTTAAAGTGTCTTGGTAGGATAGTAGGTATTTTTCCTAATATCTAGGCTGGGGTTTAAGAATTTTATGTGAGAGGTTTACAATTTGAAGTTCTAACGACCTTCCTGAGACTTTGTGACTCCACACACTAAAGGGATCATTGTTTATATACATC